GGCCGTCGCCGCGGCGCAGCGGCGGCCGCCCGCGGAGCAGCCGTCAGCCGCGGGCACAGCCGCGCCCGAGCGCGAGCCCAGCAGCGGCAGCAGCACCGTCAGCAGCAGCGCCGCCAGCAGCTTTGCGGGCGGCGGGGGGGTCGACGCCAGCGGCGGCTCCTGCGGGCCGGCGACCGTCGCGTCGCTGATCTGGCACCCGTCCGACCTGGCGGTCAAGCCGATCGTGGCGAACCGGCGGATCGAGCGGCTGCCGGAGCCGCGGTTTGACGCGCGGGCGCTGCCGTTCCAGCCGCTGGCGCTGGCGGAGCTGCTGGATACAGACCAGAAGGTGGGGCTCACGAGGTCGCGTGTGTGTGTGTGAGTGTGTGTGCGTATGTGGGTGTGCATGCCATAGTGGCTGTGCGTATGGATGTGTGCATGCGTGTGTTTGTGTGGATGCGGGTGCCTCTGATAGTGCACGCACGCACAGGTGTGCACTCGCAGGTGCGTTCAGTGTGTCCGGGGCTTTGCATGATGCTCAGGGCTTTGCCCTGCACTCGCCACGCTTCAAGGCGGCGCCGTCCCCTGAGAACCCCTTACTTGTCCCCTGAGGCTGCTCACCCCGTCTTGACCTTTGGCCTGGTCTTGACACCCCACCCAACCGTTTGCGCCCACACCTTTGAACCGCACATACCACAAGTGCGTAGCACGTGCCGGCACACAACACGCACACACAAACACACATCATGCAAACCGACACACACATACAAATCAACACACACACACACCACACACACGCGTGCGCACGAGCACGCACGCACATCCCCAGCCAAACCCCCTGTACCCAAAACGCCGCCCCCCCGCCCACGTACACCCCACCCAACCGCCAGGACTTGGAGGCGTTCCTGACACACATATACCGCGCCCTGGCGGCAGCCACCCCCCTCAAGGACAAGGTCAACGTCCTTGCCTACTTCGAGACCCTCTGCGCCGACACCACCGCCGCCAACGTGCTCATCAACAGCAGCCTCACCATGCTGTTCGTGCGCATGCTGCGCAACGGGCGCGCGCCCCTGCTGCGCGTGCGGCTGGCGGGGGTGCTGGGGCTGCTGGTGCGGCATGCGACCTTCATCGCAGAGGAGCTGGCCGCCACGCAGGTGTGCGCCTGCTTTGGCGTGTGTTTGTTGGCACGTTTGTCGGGGTGCACTTTGTTTGTGTGTGTGTGTGTGTGAGTGAGTGTGATGTGAGCGCGCGTCACTGCGCATGCAAGGGTTATGGGGCCCAGAAGGCCATTCTGCTCCCAGAGAGAGGCGATTTTGCAGGGCCCCAAGCAAAGGCCGCCGCCTGACCTTCTCAACCGCCCCCACGCCGGCCATGCCCGCGCGGCCAGCGCGGCCGTGGTGATTCCTCTGCCAGGCGCTTCGCGCCCGCCCTGCCTGCCTGAGGCCTCCGTGCCCCTCAAACTTCCCGTTGTCATGTGGCTGTTGTTTTTCATCGCAGGTGGTTGAGATCCTAACGGAGGCGCTGCGCGACAAGAACGAGCGCGTGCGGCGCAGGTGAGGCGCAGCCGGGGAGGCTGCCCGTCCAGCAGAGCTGTGCGGTCTGGCCGGCCGAGCGGCGCCTCGACCAGCCTCGCGCCCCCTCAGCTCAAGCAGACCCTCTGGTATCTGATGTCCCCGCTTTTCCAAATTGGCGTTCACCCCCACCTTATCGGCCCAGGGTGATGGCGACCCTCGGCGAGCTGCTGTTCTACATCGCCACCCAGCAGCAGGACAGCGGCGCCGGCAGCGTTGCTGATGTCAGCGCGGCCTGGGGCATCAGCAGCGCTACGACGGGCGGCGTGGTGCGGCTGCTGCGGCCGGGGGAGGACGAGATCTGCCAGCACTACGCGGTGAAGACGATCGAGAACATCTGCAGCCAGGGGGGCGAGTGGGCGGCAACGTTTTCAACAATGGTGAGGCTGGGCCACCGTTGTGCGTGTTGTGTGTGTGAGCCTTTGTGTTGTGCGAGTGCGTACGCGTGCGTGTGTGCGTGCTTGGTGGGTGGGAGGAGGTTGACCAGGCGGGGTTGGGCTGGCAGAGAGGGTGGGGATGGGGATTGCCAGGGGTGGGGGTGAGGGGGTTGCCCTGTGCACCGGCCTCAGGACTTGGGGCAGGGTGGGTGCGGGGAGTAAGGCCGAGCGCGTGAAGTCCCCTTGCCCCCGCAACGCGGCGAGCGCGGTACGGCACTCACCCGGCTGCACCCCCGACGAGCACACAGCACCTCCCGACCATGTCCTCGGAGTAAGCCCCCTCTGGCCCGAACCCATCTAGCAACCCGTCAGCAACCGGGCTGGCCCTCGCTCCGCTACCCCTGCATCTCACCTCGATCGCGCCGCAGGAGGTCGTGTCCAGCCTGGTAGCGCTGCTGGGGTCATCCTCCGGCGACAACCTCAAGGCCACCGCCGCCTCCACCCTGGCCCGCCTGCTGCGCGCCAGCCCGCCGCTGATGGGGGCGCTGCTGGACAAGTGGGGCGCGGGCGTCATCCTGTCGGGTGCGGGGCGGCGAGTTTCAGCTGAACCCGAAAAGCCCTCCTGGCTTTGCGGCGGCCCTCGTCCTGGCGGGGGCCGCGCTCTTGCAGGGGGTCTGCAGGCGAAGGCCTCGCCCTGCGCGGCCTCCTCTGACCGCACCAGCGGGGCAGGGTGCGAGCCATCTCAAGACGGCGCGGGCTTCCATGCAGCAGAGCAGCGTTCCCGGCTTGCGCCAGAGCACTACATGACCAAGGATGTAGGGTTTGGACTCAATTCACTTGAACCCTCGCTGCACGATTTTCACTTTCCCACTGCGCTCGCCCCCATGGCGCCGCCCCTCTCCGGATCCAGGCCTGAGCGACACCAGCAGCAAGGTCCAGATCAGCGCCGCCAACATGCTGAACCAGCTGCTCAGCGCGCCAGACAACGTGGCGCGCGCACGGTGGGCCGGGCCGGCGGGCGGGCTTGCGCCTTTCGGGCGCGGCGGCCGCCACCTTGGGGGATCGACAATTTTGGGAGTCCGTTGGGGCCCCTTTGCTTGGCAGGCGCGGCCCTGACCCTCCCCCCTCCGTTCGGGGCCTGCGCCGCCATGACCTGAATCCCGTTGCGTCATCCACAATCACTAGCGTGCTCTCACCCACTGCTTTCACGCCTCCCAATGAGCCTCCGCCGCTGCGGCCGCGCCGCTGCGCGCTCGGCCCACCTCCCCCTTCAACAGAAACGCCCGACCCCAAACCCCCACCCACACAGCAAAACCCCCACACACCCTCACCCCCCTTGCAGGGCCGCGCTGGCTGCTGACGAGCGCGCCGTGGTGACTGCGGTGATGGGGCTGCTGGACCACGCGCTGCCGCTGCTGAGGGCCAAGGGCATACTGGCGGTGGTGCTGCTCTGCAGGTGTGTAGGCGGGGCTCGCAACGAGGGTGCACAGAGCATTGAGGGGTGGCGTCTTGCTTTGCGCGGCGGGGCCGCCTCGCTCTGGTCAGCTCACTCAAACATGCGTGCCTTGTGTCTCCCGCCCCTTGCCCGCGCTTCTGCTGCAGGCTGTCGCCGCGGTGGCTGCTGGAGTGCTGCAAGCAGCGGCTGGTACCGCTGATGGAGCGGCTGCAGCGGGAGCGCGACGCGTACACACAGGTGCGCGGCCGCTCGGGGCCGGGGCGGCTGCTCGCCGCCGCCACCCCGTCCCTGCAGCCTGCTATTGCAAAAGCACTGCTCCTCTCAACCGCCCGCTCGCCGACAAGTTGCCTGCGAAAAACAATATGTTGCACAAACGTTGCTGTATCAACGCATGTTTGGGCATGCACTGCACCGACCGACTGCCCAGCCGGGTGTGCCGCCAAACCCGCATCCGGACACAATCACCCTCCCTCGGTCCCCAGGAAGCCGCCGCGCAGCTGCGTGTTGAGATGGCAGCAGCGGTGGAGGCGACGTGCGAGCAGATACGCGGCGAGCTGGCGGCGGCCGCGGCAGCGGGGGCGGCGGCGAGGGGCCCGCTGCAGCTGCAGCAGCTGCAGGCGAGCGGGGCGGGCGGGGGCGCAGGGGCATGGGCACAGGTGCTCTGCGGGTCGGGTAGCAGGGATACGGGCTCACGCTGATCGCGTCACCTCGGGCCTACCTGCTCGGCGGCCCCGTACGCGGCGCCGCATCCGCCCGCGGCTGGCTCTCCTGCTCCTCGCTTCCACACTCTCACTCCCACCTGCTGTCCCATTCATTGATGGCATCCCTTACCCCACCACCACTCACCCATCATCCCCCCCGCCAACAGCCCCAGCCCACACC